CTGAGATGCTATATCTTTTGATAATTGGGCACCATCCACTTTTTTCACCACATTTGCTTATGCACCATTTTTGTCTTCGGTGATCCTGTCAGGAAGGTGATAATCAAAGAGTGCTCGGTTATGAGAACAAAGTGTTCTTGTGCTTAAGGAGGCCTTGAGTAGAGGCCCAAAATCCATCTGCTATCTTAATATTTAATGCATAAATATATGTATGTTGGCCTCTATTCCTTTCGTTATAAAGTAAATATATTTACATTTGCTTCCTACTTCTTTCCTCTATTTCCTTTCACTTTTCTCACAATCCTGCTCACCCTCAACTTGACTCTCAGTAACTGCTGCTGGATCCATTGCACTTGATAAAATCCCACCAGGCCTCCTTACCATCATTTTTAGATCTCCTGTTCCTTCATCCCTCAGTTTGTTGGTGCCCTGCTCACCCTCCCTGCTCCATCCTCTCCCATAAATCCCCGGGACCACCAGTCCCATTGTTTTCTCCTTGGGATTGTTTGTTCTGCCTATCTTATATAAATAGACATAGGGGAAAAGGAAAAAAAACCCCTACAGATTCTTCTAGATCTATCTGCTGACCTTTATGAGTGTTTTCTAATCAGGTCTGATGGGGTGCCAAGTCCCCCAAGTCAAAAGTCTATTTTCAGGATTCCTTGGAGACTTGGTTACTTTGTTCCCCTTGCTGCCCTATTACACTCCCTTTGTGTTTCACTGCACTGTACATGAGGCAGACCAGGCACAGGTTCTGGACAGTGTCTCCAGTGCGACACCCCCATAGCATTATGGGTAAGTGAGGGAACATCGCATCACATGGTGGGGCCAGCCCTACCATCCTTTCTCTGCATTGGCTGCTCAGAGCAGTGATGTCATCCCCAGGGCTTGAAGGGCCATGATAAGTTCCACTCTCTCTCTTTCCCTCTTAGTTCACACCCGTGTGGTCTGGACAGACCTGCTGCTCTTCCCGGGCTATATCTTCAGTACTGTACTTTGTATTCCATTCTTCTGGGGAGGGGTCAGCATAGCTGGGTTTGGCCCTGGCCCTGTCGTCCTCTCTGTCAGTTCACTACTCCATCATCTTTTGATGCTTCTTGTATCAATCTATAGTTTGCCCATAGATTCCTTCAATATTTCAATTCAAGTCTTGTTTGGGTTTTTTTCTTTATTTTTTACAGCTTGAGAAATGCTAAATATGTTCTGCCATCTGACAACAGCAGTGATATCTCTTGTAGCACATCTTCTGAATCCAGCCTGAATATCTGTCAATTCCTAGTCAATGCATTGCTGAGAACCTTGTTGGATGACCTTCCGAAAATTTTACTTGCACGTGTTATCAATGATAATGTTCTAAAATTTGAGCATTCTGTTGGTCATCTTTCTTTGGAATGGTTACAGGTAGGGATCTGTTCCCGTTGGTTTGCCCAAGTAGCTGTCTTCCAAATTTCCTATCACAGACAAGTGAGTATTTCCAGTGCTTCGTCAGCTGACTAAAACATTTCCATTGGTATTTCATCAGTTCCTGGAGTCTTGTTTTTGGCTAATGCTTTTAGTGCATTTTGAAACTCTTCCTTCAACATCATTGGTTCTTACTCATACGCTACCTCCTGAAGTGGTGGAATGTCTACTAGTTCTTTTAGATGCAATGACTATTCTTTCCATCTCCTTTTGATGCTCCCTGCATGGTTCAATATTTTGTTAATAGATACTTTGAATATTGTCACCTGAGGCTGGCAATTTTTCTTGACTTGTTTAAAATATGTTGAGTGTGTTCTTCTCTTTGGTTTTCTAATTCTAGGTCTTGTCTATAAAGGTTTTTAGTCTTGAAATCCCTGTTAAGCATATTTTTACTTTATCCTAAGGGGTCACTATGAGTCATTATTCACTCAACACCAGTAGACGTTTTGGGTAAAATGAATTTGGGTTTTGTTAATAACTTAGTTGATAATGAGATTTGGAGAAGACACATGTTCACAAATATTCTTGCCATGTAGATATTTTATTTGTGGATGGGGAGATTTCTACTTTCTAAATATGCATAGTGAAGTATATAATCAAACTGAAACAAATTAAGAATTTTTTTTAACTTGAGGCATATAGTAAATGTATCTTTGGTTCCCAAAAAATGATGTTATTGTTTTGTTGTTTTCCTCTTAGTCCTGATCATTACTGTAAGGCCTTTGTATTGATGGACTAATTGAGATAAGTAGAATGAATATGGCAGTTCTCATAGTAGTTACAAGTGTTAAGTTGGTAGTCAGTTTATGGTTAGTTTATTTTAAATAGTTTCCAACTAAGGTTTTTTGCCAAAGCAATTGTATCATTTCGCCAGGTATATTTTAAGTTCAGTAACTGAAACAACTGCATATTTAACAATGAGAAGTTTGTGTGTGTGAGGTTGAGAAAATGTAGGAAGGGGCAATATGAAGGAAAAGGGTGAAAATCTGAATTTTCCAAAGATAACTCCTAGGTCCCATTTCTGTGAGGTTTTGTAGCACATCATGTGGGGAAAGGCTCTTAACCACAGTGGTTGTTTTACAGCTTTATTTTGCCTGATGTAAATTTTTATCACATTGAACATTAAGGATTATGCTTTCTGACAGGAATTGAAGCGTATTGTGGTTTGGGTTAAATCCCAGCTATTTTAAGGCTGCTTTGCTTTCTGTCATTACATTTTCCTCCTACTTCCAAGTTGAATCCTAATAGATTCTTTCTTAAAGATATCAGACATGCACAGTAATATTTTATAGAAACAAAGAGATTCTTCCAACTTACGTTTCGTCCTGGAGGGTGATAAATGTTTAAAGGTAATTTTAGGTCAAATATATGGGCTCATCCTTATGTCTTCAAAATAACATATTTTGACATATCTACATATTTACGATTTCCCTAAAATTCAACTTAATGGATTTTTATACTTATAATAGGTATGATGAAAAGTCAGAGATGTTCTCTGACTTTGTAGTATACAAGTATAGAATGAAAAGCATTTCAAAATATTAAAGATAAGCAGTCTATTATAAATATTTGAGAAAATAATCTGATAATATATTTCTACTATTCAATCAAAAATAAAATTATATACCAGTAAATAAATGATGCTAAGCTTTTTAAAGTTTCATCAGCCATCTTTAAGATTGATTTTCATCAAAATTACTGTACTAAAATGTTTTCTTTTGTTGTACAGACTCAAATAGCAAACCTCAATTTTAAAATCGGCTCTTATTTGCAAAAAATGCTTTGACATAGTGCATTTGTTCTGCCTGGGCAGCAATAAAGGATTGTGGTATCATTTTGAAGAAGGTTGTTTGACAGAGCCTGTTTGTTTATTTGGGGTAATGTGAGCTGCATTCAGAAAATGCCATATTTTGTTTCATGATTGTATACATTCTCTTCCATTGCTCCCAGGCAAGACTTGTAAGCAGAGAAGACACGGATTTAGACCTTTCTTCCATGACCAGTGGAAGTGCTTTGTCTGTGAACAGAGAAAAAAAAAATCAAGCACACAGACACTCAGCGGGATCTTCAAGTAAGTTGTGGTTTCCGTCAGAATTAATTTAGAAATCACAAATGAATTGGTGGAACCTAGTGCCAACATGCATGCTTTTACAGATGGGGGTAGGGTGCTCACAACCAGAGCTGCCCAAAGACGTGTATTTGAATTTTTTCTCTGTCTTTCAATGCCTTCTTTTGATATAAGCAAAATTAAATTATTTCTAAAATTAACAGCATCAGTTTTTCTTTAATTGTATTCTGTGATTCAAATCCTCTTTCCCCTTGTGGATCATATTGAATTCTTTGATCATTTATTACTCAAAGAAGTTTTAAACTAATTATAATAAGTTGGATTTATATATCAAAGTAGTGTGTTTGGGCTTTTTGTTATTGATTTAATAGATGTTATAGGTAAATTTAATTTTTAAGGAAAACTACAAAAAAGCAGAATGCTGAAGAAGACTCTTACACTGTCAAAATCCCACACACTTCAAAACTGTTTTCATGAAATTGTTAACTGTTTGATTATACTTACTAATATTGACTTTTTATATTCATTTAAGTCTTTCATACACACACCTATTAATTTTAGAAGAAAACAATTTTCTTCAAATATATAAATCTATCACGGTTTTAACAAGAATTATATTGGAACCTAATTTTTCAGTGCTTATTTAATTTGTGCCCTAGAGATTTTGAAGTTTCTTTTTAAACGTTATAATATATTAATGTAAACTATAGTTTTCTGATACCTTATTTTATTAGTTTCCCCAAAGTATATTAAACCTCAGTATAGCTTAATGTCGATTAAAAGCTATTTTTAAATATCTAGGATTTTTTAAAGTAAAGGCCTTATTATTCAATAATAGTAGTTGTACACATATAAATTTAATATTTGACTGAATGTAAAGAATTGATTAATTCACATTTTCAGATTGTTTGCCAGATAAATGGAAACTTCAAAGTATTTCTCTAACATGCACTTATTACACAGGTATCTGGCATTCCTAGAGTTAAATCATTTAAATCTATTAATGTATTTAAGTTAATTTTGATAAAATTGAATTTAAATTTTGAAATTAAATGCTAAGTATGGCTCACTTAAAAATATATCCTGAACTTCAAAGATATCAGAGTGCTTGAATGTCCTTAGTTGATAGTACAATCTAGTCAAGGGAAGATCCATATAGCTATAAAAATGATAGATTTATTTACCTAAGTAAAACTATTCAACTAATGTAAATTTTCTGTCATTAGCATGCTGTTTTAATTAAATCAATATTCAGAAGAAACTGGCCTTCCACTGATAATGACAAATAATGCTATTAATTTTATGTATTATTTATTAAAAATTCATTTTTAACTTTGGAGTAATGCAGGTAAAAGTAAACAAAATAATACAAAATCATTCTCTGACTTTACGGAACATCAACATTCTATTCTTAATATTAGGGGATTCAAAAAGTTCACAGATAAAATGGAACTGGAATATAATGGCATTTTTTCATGAACTTTGTGAAGCCCTTGCAGACACAAACACAGCAATCGAACAGCAAGGACCCTGAAATGCACCAACTTCATCTTTTACTCATATGGAACTGGATCACGGAAAGTATGCAAGGTTATGTTGTATCCACTCTTAACAATATTCTCTGGGAAACTAAAATAAGGCTACTCTCACTGCAATTCCAATGTGTTCCTAATAAGTGACACTAGTGCAAACACTACTGATCCCTAAATCCCTTAAGTGGCAGCATAAGATAAACCATTTTGGAAAAATAATTATTGTGCCAGGGAATGATTATGAATAAAACACTTCTTACCTAATGATAGTCATTACTGGTTTAGTATAATATAGCATATGATGGTGGCAAAAAGCGCAGACACTGAAATTGGTGTGCCTACATTCACAGCAGGACTCAGGGACTGCGTCTTTAAAGTCAGAACAACAATCTTAAAAATGCCTACTTTGCATAGTTGTGAGGATCAAGTATAGGAGATTTAGAGCAATCGGTACAAAATAAGTACTTAGTAAAAGTTCTTTGTCCTCAACCCCTATATGTAGCAGGAAATGAAGAATCAGTTGTGTTAAGGTCCCCAGTGTCTGGGCTGGAGGATAGAAGAGACTGCCTCAGAAACCCCGAGGAGCAGTTCTGCTGCTTCCTGTGGGCTTGGTCTGAATTGGAATCCACTCGATGACACTGCGTTGGGTTTTTGTTTTTTCGTATCTAGGCACATAGCTAATTAGTTCAATTCTTAAGAAACCTACTTCTCATACGTGCTTGACTAAAAACCTGGCATAGACTATTATTCTATAGAAATCCTTCACTTCAAATTATTGGGTGCGAGCCTCCATGGCCCTTGGCCAAACACCACTTTGGCATTTTGAAAGCTGCTTTTCCTCCCATCCCCTCTTGCCCCACCAACTCTGTTTTTTTCTCAAAACTTATCACTTTATTAAAGTTAAGATATTTCTTTTAGCTTTGCAAGCCAAATATAGAGAGTAGTTTACTGGGTGGCTGCAGCTATAGAGCACTCTTGGAGGCTTTGAACTTTTTAGATTTTTTTTCTTTCAATGCTAAAATATTGTACTATGTGTTCCTTGGGATGAAATTAGCTCAGGTTTCCAATCCTATTTCCACATCATCTCTAAGTTGTTGTGACTTTGGGTAAATTACTTAACTCCCATGAATGGCGTTACTTTTTTGTAAAGTGAGGAAAATAATTGTTTCCTTCACAGGACATCAGCAAGGAACCCATGAGTAAATGCGTGTAGCACTTGCAGTGTATAGCCCAAAATATACTCATAGAAAAGGCCTAAAAATTAGTTCCTTAGATTTTATTGTTTGCTGCTGTTGTAAGTTTTATGTTGCCATTACCTCCAAAGTATTTGTCAAACCTTTCTCCGTGATAAAAAGAATTAGAGGAAGCGGGGAGGGAGGGGAAAAATGAGGACCTAATGTCGGGGGTTTAAATGGAGAGAAAATGTTTTGAGAAATGATGTACAAATGCGCTTTACACAATTGATGTGTGTATGGATTGGGATAACAGCTGTATGAGCCCCTAATAAAATGTTAAAAAAGAAAAAAAAAAGAATTAGAAAAAGATCAGAGTACTTTGAGCATGCCAATCATTTCAATAATTCCCTCCCCACCACCGCCTCCCACCTCCCTTGGTCCCTCACCTTTTAGGACTTACTCTTCTTTTACTTGAGGACAAGTAAATGACCTCTCTCATTTAGCTGATGGTTTCAAGGGAGATAGGAAGAGCCACATTCTCCTTCGAACACTGCTATTTATAAAATGAATGTACCAAGAGATTCCTCATAAGTTTGGGGAAATATCTGATGTCATTAATGGCTATGGTTTTCTCATGTCATTCCCCCATTAAACACTAAAATAAATAAATAATGTGTTATAGTGGTAATACATTTGTTGCTGAACATTTGTAATTTTTTCAATTATAGTTTCATATTGATAGTGATTATTTTTCTTTTATTGTTAATATAAATCAGAGTCAGTAAGCTTAACTAATCTGTCATTGGCACACACAAAAAAACCCCCAAAAAACCTGAAGTCAGATTTTTTATCCCAAATTCAGTATGATACTGCCTTTTACTCTTCCGTGGGCTAAAACATGGGGCTTTTATTTTTTCGTTCATTCAAGACCCACATTTGAATCATCACTGTATACTTGCAATGTTTCTTATAGCCTTCTTCTAATCTTTTCAGGACAATATTCCGTTATCAAATTTAGGATTGAGAATTTACAGTGCCTTTATAGCATAGTCAAGCTCTTCTTATGGCTTATAAAATTCTTGTGAAATGCAATTCCATTTACTATGGTGCTGAATTCTCTGAATTAGGAAAGATATTATTTAGAAATCAATGAATTGATGTGGTTGCTGTGAAAGAGGTACTTAATTTGCGTATAGAGTAACAATTGCTATTTAAATAAGAAAAAAGGTGGAAGAAAGTCATCTACACAAAATCAAAGTGTAAAATATGAATGTCAAGCATTGAGAATACCAGTAAATCTGGGTCAGAGGCTCTGCCTACTAAAATAACATAAAATATGGTTGACTGAAAAATTAAGGTTAATTTTAGATAAGTTTGAAAGTAAATTGGAATACTTAATTCTTAAAACTAACAATAAGTAACGAATGGAAACATCTGAAGATAATCACTGCATTATAAAGCCTGAGCTCTGTTAAGGAAGGTATTCTAAGTCTGGCCTAACAGTCAGCACATCTTGTTGTCTGATAGTGGAGAGTGCTGTTGTTGCTGCGAAGGTGTCTTCAAGTTGAGTATGACTCATAGTGGCCTTGCGTACAAAGGAGCAAGACGCTGCCTGGTCCTGCACCAGTCTCTTAATTGTTCTAATGTTGGAGCCCATTGTTGCAGCCACTGTGTCACTCCATCTTGTCGAGGGTTTTATTCTTTTGCTCTGCCTCTCTACTTTACCAAGCATTATGTCCTCCTCCAGTGTCTGGTCTCTCCTGATAACATGCCCAAGTCTTGCTGCCATCCTTGCCTCTAAGAAACACCCTATTATAGAGTATATGTATGTGTGCGTGTGTGTGTGTGTATATAGATAGATAGATAGATAGATAGATAGATAGATAGATAGATAGATAGATATAGATATAGATATATTCCCATTACAGAATACACGCACACATATTTTTGTCCATCAAAAGACAGAGTGAGATAGTTTACTAGGTATCCAATACTATGTCTGCAGGCTGTAGGTGGTAGCTAATGGAAGTATAGGTTCCAAAGATGACCATTGAGATTTGCCTCACATGGGATAAGCACAACCCAATAATATAATTTAAAATATAATAATCAAGTATTTTAACATGCTGTATATGCATGTGTCTCTTGCATGTGCACATACATGAATATTTAAGTTGTACATAGTTTCAGCATATATATTTATAATTTCATAGTGATTAAATTTAGGAAATAATATTGTTTCATATACCTATATAAAAAGTATAAGGAACCCTGGTGTTGTAGTGGTTACACATTT